TGTATTTAATCAAAGAAATTGCATGAAACTGAACGCCTGGCTGTATATTGGCTTTTCCTTTTATACATATTTTATTTGCAAGAACCTTGCAGCTGGATTTGTAACACAAGGACGGTAAGTTTTCTCCTACCACACGATAGTTCGAGGTTCTATGTAAAGTTAATAATTTTGCAAATTATTCAAATTTTGACACCGAATTGTACACTTAGCAACTAATAGTACTTTGCTTTACACAATTTAGGGACGGCTTGTCACCAACGGTTTACAATTTTTTATATTTATATAAGGGTAATCCCCCTTTTATGAATATTACTACAAATCTTAGACCCATGCTGTTTGCACCTAGTTCTACAACCTTGACCAGGTCATCAATCACAACAATGTGTTACACCTACGTATGAAAAAAAGTTACGTTGTGTTTTTTATTAAAAATCGCACACAGCGTTTTCGTCTTTCTCATTAAAAAAAAATGAAATCATTTTTTATATTGCAAATATTTCTTCCGCACACTCTCCAACAGCGTCTCAAGGACGGATCTATATTTTGTCGCAGAAAGATCAAAAATAGTTACTACGCAGTTTCCAGCTTTCATAGCAACTATGCAATGAAGTCAATCACAGTCGAGCCTGGCAAGCGGAGCGGCGTACATCGTGAAGTGCGATTAGAAACCACAAAAGATAATAAACTAATTATAGTGCCAGTTGCATCGCCGCGCCGCGGACACTGATATGTTATCGATGTTTGTATGAAACAAACACGATTCTTATAGCACAAAGCATATCAACTTTCACATAGACATTTTACGGGAGCCTCATTCTCTTCATTCATTTGTTTTTTTTTTTACTTTTGCTTCGAGGTGTTTAAGTGTAAATGTAGTTATTCAGGATACAGTTATCGATTATTTTTGATATCCAAAATAATTACAATACCAAAAAAGGTTCTTGCTTTTAACGCTTGTTTGCTCAACGGAGATTTCACTTTTCCCTTTAACTTGTCTTAATATGACACATAAGCCTGTTATCGGAAATTACTTTCTAGTAAATATTATATACAACCTGCCGTACCTCCATCCACCCGGTATTAAAAAAAACACTTAAATAACCTATGTGTTCTTCCAGAATAAATTCTATATGTATGCTAATTTCATCGGAATCCACGGAGACGTTCTGCAGATAACTTCTAACATACATCCATTCATATATTCGAATTTATAATATTAGTAAGATTTGGAAAAAAATGCGTAACAACAATATATATACAATACTTATGTAAGTAAGATACCAAAACAAGCTTATACACAACAAAAGTTGGTATTACAAAGGATCTAGCCACCTGCGTTATATGATTGCTGGTAACATAACTTACGTGGAACACACACTTTTTTTTTCTTAATATTTCTTACAAAGTAATCGCACAATATGTAGGGGTCGCGCTAGTTCTCTCAGCAAAAACGAATGCAACCTCTTCTTATTCATAGTTCACAGACAGGTGTGTAAATTCACACAGCCAGCTTTGTGTTTTATGCACTTTACTAATACATCCATGTCCCACATTACAATAAAACTAAACATTTTTAATCCCTTAAGATATAAGAGATATTTCTCTTATTGTTTATCTTATAATAATATTTTAGAAGCAGAAAAAAACATGAGAACAATTCTCAAGGACTTTTAGTTTGACTTTCGAAACACGGATACGGAAGTTACGGAGTTTGTGAAGTAAACATAACCGTAAGTTTTAAGTTAACTATTATTTCTAAGGTATATTGCCAAACAACAATACTAGACTTATTTCATGATATCGCATTTAACAAGTGCAGTTCTAGACGACCGATAATATATTCGGAGAAGGGTTCATTTCAGATGTGTTGTATAGTTTTAATAATGTATAGGAACATTGTAGGGAGAGGAGAGGAGAGGGTATCGACGGGTGAGGTGCGGTGCCGGCTGGCGGCGGCGGCGGCTCTCGTCGGATCGATACCGCGGCGCCCCAGCGGCCCAGCGCCTGCCGCCTCGCCCTCGCTCACCTTACCTTGTCCCCGTGCCAATCTACTGCCACAAACATTGCCTCGCGCACTAAAATCTATACTAAGTCCCACAATACAAATGAAAGACATTTCGAACGTATTGAATTTCTAAACATGTATGAAACTTTAAAGAATTATTAATAATTTTTAAACAATATTTAACTTATTTTCAATTTATCAAGGTCATCCTTTAAATAAAAAAATATAACAAAGAGCAAATCAGAAGTTGTGCAGAACAGAGAGTTCGGCACATAAGTAGCTGGGATATTAATGATATATTTGAGTTGACTTAGCATTTTAACAATGTCATTTATATCACTTTCTTTAATATATGCAATAACTTTTAATGTATTCATATCATACTAATATATTGGATGCGAATGACGAAATCTAGGAAGGGTATAATCATGTACTTATAACTTTCGTGAAACAGTTAATGTAATTCGCGAAATGAAGGTCGTGAGCGTAGTGATATTTTTGTAATTATTTTTAATTTGTTGCAAAAATATATTGCGATCAATCGGACGTAAAAACATTTTTCAACTCTTTGAATAAATGTTTGAACCTGGCATGTAAATTGATGTCTAAAATGTAAACACACTTACGTATTGCATGAAACGTGGATGCTATGACCTACGCTAAACAACATTAACATATTTTTTTGACCAAAATCTTAACTTCTAGGCAAGCGATAAGGAGGTAAACAGCCATCTTAGAAGATTTACCAGAAAGTAGAAAAGGCAAGAATGAGAAATGAGCCGTTCGTGCGGCATATCTCGTGTACGAAGTGTAAAAAATGAAGGGTTACTGCTTCTAGCTGCTTAAACATCTAGTCATCGTGATCGTATTTTGATTTGTGGTATAAAAATATAAATTATTGTGAAATCAAAACAACGAAGGCAAATTCAGAGTATTGAGTTTCGCAACAATAAATGTAGGGGGAAAGCGTCCACATCTCCCTCCGCATCGCTAATACCATTCCGCTCAATACTGTCGCACGCTTCGAGTAATTAAATTAACTTGTCAATTATAATATCAGGCTTATTCGACACAACATAGCTCGCAGTCTAAAAAAAACGATCAGTATTGAAGACACATTATCATTGTGACAATGACAAAATTTACTTTTATACTATGGGACAGTAAGATATATCTTACTAATTTACATTTATCAGTGGTAGAGCCCGCTTTAACATCTTCACACGAATCGGGCCGGCTCGCCCGGTGAAATACCACGACCATACAGAAGACAGGCGTGAAGTGGAAGCAATTCCGCGTTTCGTCTGATGAGTGTGCGTCACGGAGGCCTAATTTAGTACTCTTCCACTTCCCACCCTTTTTCTTATAAGGAAGGGGTGGGAAGTGGAAGTGGACTTTCCGGATGAGAAGATGCATAGGAAGGGAAAATATTTTCTTTCTGTGCATCCTCTCCTCCGTCGATTAAAGGTAGGCAACGTATGCAACTGCGTATGTCTATGGGCAACAGTCACTTCGCTATTTCAGCGATTTCAGGTGGCCACTCGCTCGTTTGCCACCTTATGATATAAAAAAAATATTATAATTTTGAAACTTTATATGGATGAATATTTGTTATGAAGGTATCTCCAGAATGAGGTAATGGATCTCAATGAAATTTGGTAGAGATGTAAAATATAAACTGGAGGAACATTAGACTACTTTCTAGGAATTTTCAATTCAGAGCAGACAGTCGCTGATAAAAGCTACTTTTTTTAAAATAATCTCATTCTTCTAGATAAATTTGGCTATACTTGTCAACTAACAACATTATCACCAAGGGGTTAGGGCCTACCCTAAGACAGGTATGTCTATTTGCAGGCCCCAGGCACATTTTTGAATAAATATGGAAGACCAAAATGTTTTTCTTCACAAATGTAAAATAAAGGTTAATATTAAATTTGATAATACAAAAACATATTTCCGTCATGGTATCATAACCATACCTGGATTATAAGTTCTAAACCAATCTGCCACCGATGCTCCTATTGGCTATAATTTCTTCTACTAATTTTAAATTAGTATTTTAAAGATAAAGGCCATGAAACTGAAAATGTAACTTCATATGAGTAAGTATCGCAAAATAATTACTCTCAACTGCAACTAGATTTTATTTTAAACCTTAACTATGCTAACAGGAAATCCTGGGGTAAGCACAGTTGTGGAAATATAAAATAGACAATTTTTTGTATCAATCACAGATTGGAGAAAACCCTCGTAACATGCGTAATGCTGAAATTATTTGATTTATTATGCCTACCTTAAGAAAAGGCATTCTTTTACCGTAACCGAATATATATAAAAAAATCACCACATAAAGATACAACATGAAAAATTCAAAAGCCAAATAGAATGCAGCGGAATAGTGAATTACCTAGGTGAAAAAATGCACCTTATAAGTTTCCTTAGTTACTTATTTAGCACTAACCGAAATAAACATAATATTTTAATTTTGATATTAGTGTTGTCAATATATATAATTGTTTTCCATTTTCCTCAAATGAAAAGTAAATCAAAATGGTATTACTTTACAATGGGGAATCAGGCCCTATTTCCGTAAAATTGATTTTATATGATAGTGTACAACCTCATTAAGGTAAAACATTTCACTCATATATTTATTACCCTCATTAACGTTACCTATAGAATTTTTTTGGGGGTGGCTATTTATTTTCGATAAATGAAAAAAATATATTTGTAAGTTGTAAGTAAATAGTCCAATTTTAACAACTATAAAGTAAAATATCCTGTTCTTATTTATTAATTTGCTTTCTTTTCGATTTCTTTGTTCTTCGTTGTTTGACCAACAAAAAAGTCATGGCAAAGAAAATTCAAAATAGTATATAATATAAAACAGCACGCCATTAATTTTATGAGAACTTTACGAATATACTCCGAATAAATTATTTATAATTGTAAATCGAAATAAACATAGTACATAATTATAGGGATCACTTACCCACAGACAAAAGGTTTCCAAAGTGTGAAACCACGTAATGGAACAAGTCACTTTAATAAACACATCGCGTTTCAGAAATACGACGTAATAAAACTAAAAAGCATTTGTCGTAATGAGCGACAAAATCATAAATCGATTAATATTTTACTCAGTAAGAATTTTCAAAGCATAATATTTTCACTTCAAGTTCACAAAATGTCACTGTTTGAAAATGAAATGACACTGTTCAATTTTGACCCATTAAAATTTTCACTGATTTTCAAACACTCGGAATAAAAACAGCTGGCTGATACCAAACCAAAGCGTGTTTTTTTCTCATTCTGACTACCACAGACAATGTATTCTCAGAAAGAAGATGGTGTTGTCATGTCATATGAATTGTGTTTGACATTATGGTTTTCCATAAACATTTAAGAGGAAAGAGAGAAACATTAACTATTAGAGATTAGAGAAACGGACTAGGAAAATGACCTACCTGTTCCGATTAACTCGTGCCAACTCATGCTTATAAAAGCTTAATATTCTAAAAAATAAAATAGAAGTTGATTCAATAACATCGTACTATTTTTATGCGTAATCGTTGTTTAAAGTTATAAAAAAATCAACATAATTGGTTTATTTAAGTTTTTAAACTATAATCCTTTTACTAGCGAACGTCCGTGTCTTCGTCAGCGCAGAATTATAAAAGTAGGCTATTATATACCCGTGCGCATCAATTATTCAAAAACATAATGTGGACGAAATATATTTTTTTCGATATTATAAAAGACACTCCAATCTTATTAATATGTACAAATGTAGAGATAACAATTAAAATAAAGAAGTGCTGGCATCAACACATAAAAAAGTGTTATGAATAAACTTTTCTTTATATAAAACTTGAAAACCCTAAAGAACGATAGAGATTAATCACAATATAAAATTCATAATGATAATATGCTTATCAATTGTTTGCCTTTCACTATTTTACTAATTTTAGCCGATTTCAAAAAGGTTCTCAATTCGTCGGTATGTTTTTTTCTAGGAATAGTGACATGATTCGATCTACAAAACGTTTTTATTTTCATTATATATAGTCATCGTCATTAGTCAAACATAAGTTTTTTAATATTTCTGATGGTGAGGGGATATTTTTGTCATTAATTGGCACAGAATCTATCAAATCCTCAAGATCATCTCCAAATATTTCGTAGTGTTTGTATTCCGTGGCGTTATTATCATCACGATGTGTAGAGTAACCGGGATCTGACATTACGTCATGGTCTTCATTGCTTTTGGTAAAAGCTTCTGCTATTATTGAGAAACCATCGGATTCAATATCTTCCAAAGATAGTTTTGCTCCAGTGCGAACCAATTCCGCATTAGCTTCAGATATTTCTGTGTAATTTAAGTTACTGCAATTTCCTTCATTGGTGTTAGGCGTTGGCTCGTTTTTATACTTTTTTTTAAGTTTTTCTACCAGATCACCAGACTGCCGAACGACAGTACCAGGCGGTTGTGCTTGACACTTATGTGTTCTTTGGGATACCTGCAAAAAAGACACCAAGTTACGGTTGTGTACATTTAGTTGTTCTATTGCTCGTGATATTTTTTATAAGCCAATGAAAATTATACAAGCGCATAAAAACGATACGAAACGATGCCTTACTTTATATCGAAAACTTTTTTTGCAAGCTGTACATTTATAAGGCATGGCGCCTGTGTGTATTCTGCGATGCACTAAATATGAAACGCGTTGTCGAAAGCATTTTCCTGTAACATGAATTTTTAATAATTTACAATTTAGTTTTATCTTGTAAATAAATTTTTAGCTTAGGAGACGAAGGTCAAAAAGTTTACAAATGTTGTAAAACAAACTTACCACATGTTTCACAGGAAAACGGCTTTTCTCCAGTATGTATACGTTGATGGTTATGGAGAGTCGATAATTCTTTGAAAGCTCGATTGCAATAATTACATACATGAGGTTTTTCATCATTGTGATAAAGGAGATGTTTGTGGTAAGATTGTTGGAAGGTAAAAGTTTTGTTACATTGTGTACACGCGTACGGTGTTTCCCCTGAAAAAATATATAACATACAATTAATAAAAATAACATGGTATGTACTTATAATAAATTGAAATGTTAATTCATGGTAATTTAATTCACCAGCAAGCTCTACATAATAAATTAATGCCTTTGTTCAGTTTTAAATTGTTGGTGGGTTTCTGAAGTAAACGAAGCCATAAAGCACAATGATTAATGGCTTTTGTTAAAGTTAAATGCGTTTTCATGATGTTTTTGCAATGCCTAGTTATTATAAAATTATATTTGACACGATTGGTACATAATGACGAATATGAAAATTGGTTAGTAGTATTACCTCAAATGAACACCAATATGTTTAACCTGTATGAAGTCGTTTGTGCTTCTTTAAAAAGTATTTTGTTGTAAAGCTTTTACGGCAAACATCGCACTGCCATTGTTTCGCATCACTCCTATCTAGTGTAGTAGGTTTACTTTCTATTTCACCTTTTCCACTTTTTTCCTTTAATTTTTTTGTTGTGGCAGATTGAGAAGGAAAGCCATAGTGGGCAACTCTTAAGTGTACCATTAGTGAACCTCTCATTTTAAAAGTTTTAGGACATAAATGACAATCGTAGCTTGAAAAGTTGTTATCAGATTTGTCATCCAAATTGTGTAATAAACATTTGTGCATTTTTAATATGTTGGAATCAAGGAAGCATAAGCCACATACATTACATTTATGGTCGGTATTCACAGTAGCCGTTTCAGCTTTCACAGTTGGTATGTACACCGGGTTATTACTCTGAACACATCCGTCCACACCACCCTGTATATCTATAATAGGAACGGTATTCAAAGCTATCACTGGTAATTTTGGATATATTTTAACAAACTTAACTGGCGCCGTAGATGCCGATACTTTATTTTTAGACGGCGCCGTTCTTGTTTTCTTTAGCGTGGTAGGAGGTATTTGACTTCCCTGTTTTACTTCAGATTTTGTTTCCGTCTTTTCACTTTTTTCCAACGATCCATGTGATGATAAAAACGAAACGTGACTGAAGAGATGTATGGTTAATTTATCCAGTCCCGACAGCGACTCTTGACATATTGGACACACTATATTGTTGGTGGAGACGTAAATCAATCTGTCTTTTAATGCTTGTGCGGAATTGAAAACACCAGTATGTAAACATATTGGACACGGTAAGGACGCTGCGTCAGCACTCATTTTATTAAAATTTTAAACAAAAAACGATGTTAGTTTTTGTGAACTATGTGTTGCTGCGATAGCACGAAACTAAACCACCCGAACGTTATTTTTAGAGCGCTGCGTGAACTCTTTTGGCGGCATGTCAAGAAATTTTACTACTTATACGAAATGGATTCTTGAGAAGCGCTCCATAATTAACTGTAACCATTAACGTTTTGTGGCATTTGATAAAATATAATAACTGTGCCAACATCTTAAGAAAAGTCTTAGATAAGGGTTAATCCATAATCAGCAACCAATTAATTTCCTTTTTCCCATTGCATTTTATTGCAAAATGATATTGATGCTCGGATGGGTTCACAACGAAATTGTTTATTGAGAAAGTAAAGGAGATTTTACGAAACTTCTATTGTGTAATTTCCTTATAAGAGATCCTGATTCTTGCCCGGTGCTCCCCTATACATTTGTAGTGTAAAAGCGGATATTTCTTATTTCTAGAGTAATAACAAGTGCATATTTTATGTACATATTACTTTATCAGCGAAGGAAATCAAAAATCAATAAATGCAAGTCATTGAAAATTGTTAGACGAAGAGCAATGTCATTACTGAATTAAACAGTACCACTTTCGTAAATCCTCTTTAATACATTAATATAATTAAACCATACTTTCTTCAGTATTTCTATAAACTCTACCCTCGAAATATAATCGTATGCCAATTTGAACATTATGAATAGGGAATTAAATTATTTTAAACTAGGATCAGTTTTAATATAAGTGGCAAGACAAGCTGGCGAAAACATCTCCTCTTGATCTTCTCTATGGTTTTTGTTAACTTTTGTGTTTTAAATGTCAAAAATCAAAAACAAAAACAAAATACGGCATGACATTTGTTTACTTTTTGACTTTTCATGTATCGATTGTTTGTTTACAAGTTTCTAGGTTTCAAATATGACGTCCAATTTGTTGGATCGATTAAAGTATAGTTGGGTTTCGTATATGTAATAAAATTGCACTTATCAGAAATTGCTACACTTTTAATTATTAATTTTATTCTTACATTTAACTGACAATGAGTGCGCCTGAGAAGGTACCTGGTTATATGGCACAATTACTTGAGGAACTGGGATGGAATCAAGGAACAAGAATTCCATTAGCTGACCCTAATAACAGCAATTTAGAAACAATATTAATTGCGAGGTAAGCTTTAAAGAAAATGCATGAAATATAGTAGGTATTTTGGTTTTTAAAATGTATTTGTTTTTTTAGGCAAAATGAAATCCAGACCTTGAAAGAAGCCCTTACGTTGCAACTACAAAAACGTAGTGATCTTAATAAATACAAGGACTTTGTACATACTGAATATCAAGAAAATACTGTGAGTTAAATCAACAGTATCCTAAATGTAATGAAGTTGTATTAAATTATTTATAATTTTCGTGGTTATTTCAGCGTCTACTATTTGCTCAGAAACAACAATTGGAGCAGGAAATCAAGGTACATCAGTTGTCAAAGAATGAAGCGGACAGACTTGACAAGGATGTGGTTGAGTCTAACAAAGAAAGTAGTGCTGCTGCAACTAGGATTGATAGGCTACAATGTAAAGTTATTTAACATTCAGATGATGTTTATGTATTTTATGTACTAGCACAATCAACTATTCACTAGCACAGGTCTGTATTATTAGATTCATAATAAATATATGTACAATTTTAAAATACTTTTTTATCAATATCTATTATAAGGTAAATAAATGGTAAGTATTTAATGTTAATGTTTCTTTGAAAATAATGATATCTAGCAATTAAAAATGCACAAATGAGAAATATTCATCTGCATATCTTTCTAGATTTTTCACATGTAAGAACTTGTGAGTGTAAATTAGCATTGTTATTGCTTGTGCCGCCAATATTTATGTTTTTTTTTTATAAATACATATATGTATCTATCTTTCTTTTTTTATATCATAAGTAAACAAGCGAGTGGCCACCTGAAATCGCTGAACTAGCAAAGTGACCGTTGCCTATAGATATACACAATTGCAAATGTGTTGCCTACCTTTAATCGACGGAGGAGAGAATGTACAGAAAGAAAATATTTTCTCTTCCCATGCATCCTCTCATCTGGAAATTCCACTTCCCATCCTTTCCTTATGAGATATAGGGTGGGAAAAGACAGAGGACTAAATTAGGCCACCAGGACACTTTCTTTTTCTGTGTGGTTGTGGTATTTCACTGGGCGATCTGGGTCAATTTGTGCGAAGGTGTTAAAGCAGGTTCTACCTCTGTTAAAACTTTCTGTAGATAAATAGGCAATAGTAGTTTAACAACGGTGTAATTGTAGAGTATGTTTATTTGATATAAAACAATATAAAGTTACAAATTAAAATTATCACAGGCAGTATTGCGCGTCTTTTGAAAAAGGCGGATACACTGAAGAGTGAAGTATGCGGGGAGAGAGGCGCTCTGCAGGAGTGGCGCGCAGCACTGGAGAGGAATGCCAGCGACATTACAGCCATAGAACAGTTCACTAAACAGGATCTGTCTAAAGCTAAGGTAACATGTTATTCTATTATTGTTGTCAATGACTTTACATCTGTGCCAAATATAGAGATCCATTAAAACATTGATACCTTCTAACAGAATTCCATCCGTTCAAATTTTCCCATTTATAATATTAGTAAGATAATATGTATACTAATATAAAGCAAGAGTTTGTTTGTTTAAATGCGCTAATCTCAAGAACTACTGGGCCGATTTGAAAAATTCTTTTATTGTTGGAAAGTCTATTTATAGAGGAAGGCTTAAGGCTATAAAAAATTACGCTGCGACCAATAGTTTTTTTTTTAATTCCGCGCGTACGGAGTCGCTGGTGACAGCTTGTAGTAAATATAATAAAAAGAGAAAAAAATAATATATGGTAAGTCACATAGTGTTTTTATTTTCTTTATGAATTACTAAAATGTAATTGGTAGGCTTTGGAGACCAAGAGGCTGCAGCTAAAGCAGGAACATGACCGACTGCGTGACCGTCTTAACCAGCTCGTGGGCAACTTGAGTGCGGAGGAGCGCGCCTGTGAGAGGATATCTGTACAAGTAAGTATAATTATATTACATACATATTATTTATAGGGGAAAGAAACAAGTGACTTTTTGGGTGATATTATGAGATAGTCTATGGACGGGAATTTACCACCAAGAAGTAACTCTAGGTTTTACACAATTTAGCATTATAACACTGACCTCTATACATGGATTAAAAAAGTATTTTGTGCCCATTTCATTTTCGCCTTTTTGGCGCTTAGTGTAGCCTTAGTAAGGGTTCGAACTAATAATAGAGATAGAATTAAGTGTCAGGACTCCAACAATCAAGTTTAAATAGAAACGAAGCAAAAGCAGTAATTTTTAAGCAGAGTATACAATTTTATTTGATGAAGGAAAATAAAATTATCTATACTAATTTGTTTGTAATTTAGGAATAATTTATCAAATTTTTTGTGTATATGTTTTCCGTTATGGTAAGTTGATATATGTATAGGTGATGGAAGGTATGGAGCAGAGGAAACAAATGATGGCAATGTGGACAGGCGCTGTGGAGAATCTGCGTCAACGCGACATCGACATCAGGCATATAAAAGAGGTAAATGCTAAAATCAAAGGTTCATTAAGGTTATGTTGAAGGAATATTTGAACAAAGTAATTTACAAGAGTTGTCTAGGATTATGCAGTGCTAGAAGATGCGGCGAACAAAGTGACGGAGCAGTGCCGCGAGCAGCAGGCGTTCTGCGACCATCAGCGCGCAGACAATGCGGAGGCCACCAGAGAGAACATCACCCTGGCGCAGCAGCTTAGCCTCACACGCTTCCAGCATGAGCAGACTTTGGAAGAGAACCTCACACTGGACAGCGAGGTATTTCACTCACACCAATGTGGGGAACACTGTAGGCAAATCAAACATTTTAAGGCAATTAATTTTATAGGTGGAACAACTCATGATCTGTATTGTAACCAAGAATGTAAAAAATCTAGTCTGGCGGCTTTTTAATCATTATCTTAAGCAATTAGTTCCATATTTTCTTACAATGTACCACGGGTTTTTATATTCCAGGTTAGCGTATACTTAACCGAAGATGATAAATTGTTACAGAGTAGTTAAGTGGTAAAAAAATGTTTGAAATATGTTTTTTCAGTTAAAAGCCATGCAACGAGAGTTGAGCAACATGCGTAACTTCCTTGAAAAACTCCGTTTAGAGAACAAAAGCATTTTCGAGGAACAGCACCAGAAAGATGTCGCACTCAAAAATATTATAGAAAAGGTACTAAAAATATTTTCCAAACAATGATCTATCAATTATATTTAAAGCTCGGTCTATAAATACAATTAATATTTCTAGATCAAGGAACTTAAAGAAAAATTACTGGAATCTACAGACAAATCGAAAAGTTCCGAGAAAAGAGCAAAACAGCTGGAAGAAATGTTAAATGTAAGTTTATTTGTTTATACAGAAAGAATTTAATAAAATATCATTCGTTTATTTAACAATATTTACTTGATTATCTCTAAACTGCGGTTCTATTACTTCCAAATCTCCAGAAGTACAGTCAGGGCACTACGCGGTGTTCCACTTACATATAAATTGCCTTATTCCTTGCAACAAGACAAACTTCGTCCTTTCTAACAAAATTACTAATAAGGTAGCAGTAATGGGTAACCAATAAGTTTTGTACAACTAACCAAACATTTTTAGTATAGATAAATTTAAAAGTTGCATCCTAATGGAAACGTTCAAACGGTTGTCGCTTGTAAAGTGGTATGCCGCTAGATTCTCCGATAGTACAACTTATGAACATTTAAATAGGTGCATTGTGTACTGATGTATTTAAACCAGTGCCATTGAAAATAATAAACGAATGTTTGGTATGACAGGAGGAGGAGCGTTACGCGAGCCAAATGAACTTAAACCAGCAGCGCGCTATGCATTGCTCCTTTATGGAGAATCAGAAACTTCTAGAACTTAAGAACGAAGAGAAACTGTTTAGTATGCAGTTAAAAGGTATCGTTTAAAGAAAAAAATGTTCTTTAAAAACTCGGTTGGTTTAAATATTAGGTTATTGCAACTAGCTGTCCGCCCGCGACTCTGTTCGCCTGGAATTAAAACAAATATATAATTAGTAGCTTAAATGTTTTTAGACTATTTTCTACATCTGTGTCAAATTTCAGCAAGATCCATGGAGCCGTTCTGGAGATACCTTCTAACAAAGATCTGCATTTCTAATTTTGTTACAGTTTAATTACTTTTTTTCACAGCTTCGAAAGCTGTGATGAGCAAGTTGGACACCAAGCAACGCAATATTGAACGTACTCTGCAAGGACTGAAGGAATCTCTCTACGCTATTGTACGTAATTGTACACACTAATGTATTATAATTTTATTGGTAAAGATATATTTAATTTTATCTACGGCTAGTGTAATTGTTTTGTATAGTGCTACCAGCTGGAAACTACAGGAGCTCGGGTGGCGCACATGGAGGGAGCCCAAGCTGAGAGGGAATGCTCCGCGGAGCTCGCAGAACAGGAAAATAGGTCTTTCTTTATGGTTTATAGTATTACTAGCTATCACACTTACTCGGTGCACGCGAAATTAAAAAAAAAATATCTATGTGTTCTTCCAGACTATGTTCTATATCTATGTCAAATTTTATGGATATCAGTTGAACTTTTCTGCAGATAATTTCTCACTAACATTTATCCATCCATACATCCAAACATTCTCAGTTAAAATATTAGTAAAATTAATCCTGATACTAAACAGAACTTCTGTTTTTATTAGAATTTTACAATTTTAAGTGATTTGATGTAATATTTTAATTGTTAGGTTGAAAGAGGTGTGTGGTCGTCACGCGGCGCGCGTGGCGCTGCTGGAGCGGCACGGCGCGCGACTCCACGATGACATGCGTCGCCTCGCCCGCGATCTCGAGACTAAAAACGCGGAATTTGTTAACCTGGCGAGTATATTTAAACAGCTTTTAGAATATTATTGTACATAAAATCTTATTATAAAGGCTTAGAGATTTTAAATAACTTTGTTTTAGACATATTGAAAGGGTGAATAAAAGGAAAGTAAGCGACTGGGTCGGTCGGGGTCGTCCCAAACAAACTTTTACCGTTTAGATTGATGAAATAGTCAAGAAAGATGGTAACATGAGTACCAGAAACCGATTTGACTGTACATAGATGTATGTACAGGCATGTATGTACATATATGATTGTAGAAGTAGCGAGAGATGTGTGTCAGGACCGCGCCAAATGGAAGTTCGTGGACTTTACCCCTTTGGGTAGCGATTGTGTACAGGCTTTCTCATAAAGTATTTTACAGTGATATAACAAAGATTGGTTTAATTTGGTTTTGCAGCAAAGTCGTCTAAAAACGTCGATGTTGAACGTGTCCGGGGGCGAGAAGGAGGTGTGTGCATCTCGCGAGGAGTGGCGGCGGCTGCGCGTGGAGGAGGCGCTGACGCGGCTGCGTGTGGCGCATGCGACGCGCGCGCTCGCTGGACTCGACCGCACGCACTACACGCTTGACGAGCGTCGGCTGCAGCTTGACGCTGTTAGTACAAACAAACTACCAGGGATATTATAATGATGTATTCGCGTAACTGTTAACGAAAAATAATTTTTGTCCGTCTGCTTGTCGTTGTTTCGGATAATCTCCTGAAGGGCATTACCGATTATGATGGGACTTTAGGCATGTTATAACCTACTTCTTTTATACGTTGACGAAGTCTGATTAAATGGATTTAAATAATATTCAATGTACAAACTATTAGATTGTGCAATGAATCCGCGCAAATGATATACTCAATAAAATTCTGTATTTTCCCGAGTTTTGTAACTTTGTTTAATTCGGAATTTTTAAACGATTTTTTACACAGATAGAGGTCATTTATCCTTCTCGTGTTATTATAAAGTGTTAGTAACTGTAATATGAATGTGTATATGTATGTATGTATGTGTGTGTGTGTGTTGTCAGGCAATGAAAGAGCGTCTGGTGGAGATAGGAGCACGTCGCGACATGTTCGGAGTGCAGAAGCGCGCGCTGATGGAGGAGTGCGGCAAGCTGCGCGGAGAGATACGCGAGCGAGAGCAGCGCGTGCATCAGCTCATTAAGAGGTTACATCTTCACAACATTCACTCATTCATACATTCAAATTTGTACTGTTAAGAAAAAAATCCGATACTGTGCCGGTGTACTGGCGTAACACTAGCCTTACTAAAATGTCAACGTTTAATTCCCTTCACTAATCATTCTGACACATGACTTTGTAACGAAAGCGCGTCATTCGTGCCAAATAATTCTAATAATATCTAAAAGTACTGATTACTTAATGATCAATTGCTACAATCATAAATAAGTAATGTTCGGAATAATGCCTGGTTAACATAATATAAAGGAAAAGACAGTAAGACAGTAGCGCTCAAAATCAGCTCTGGTATACTACTGGCATAGTGTAAACGTTACTGGGTGCCAGTGAGTCCGTACAGTCCATGCCAGGCCAGATCTCCTGTTCTTCTGTACTGTAATGAACTAAGCATTATGTTCTGATATATTAATAGGATGTAGGGCAATTTATAAATGAAGCAATATTGTTGTCAGACACGACATATTCATTGCGTCACTGGGCAAGGACGAGTCCGGTCAGCAGCTGAGCGTCACGTTCTTCAAGATAAAGGTAACACCGCTCAGCTTCATATTGTTTATCAACACGTACTTCTATATTAAACACCATTTATTCATATTAAAACGTTTAATATGAATTAATTTAAAAAAACCTTTTTTTTCTTCTACCCACCTTTATTTTTCTGTAGAGTTATAATAAATTTGAAAAAAAAAAGACTTTAAACTTGAATTACTGGAACGTCATCTTCTCGATTTACTTTTGCAATAAATATTTTTTCATAGCTTTAAATATGTTCTATTTTCATTAAAAGTTAGCTTTACGCAAATCATAGCAATGTAAAGGTAAAATATGCAACATGTAAATGTAAATGCGATATAAGTTTGCGGCGGAGCGCGCGGAGTTGCGGGAGCGCGGCGCGCAGCTGGACGCGGAGATAGTGAAGCGCGAGCGCGACGTGTCCGCGCTGGAGGCCACCATGCGCGTCGTGCACGCTGCGCACGCGCACTTCATGGCACACAGCGCGCCGCTAGACCAGGACGGTACGTCACACTACCGACCTTCATAAATGGACGGGCTATAACACCTACTATTTTATGCCTATTTCATTTTCGACATTTAGGCGCTGATGGAAGCGGTTTGTAGGGATGGTGTAGATCAGAACTAATAATATAGATAGAATTAACTGTCACGTAACTTGAACAGACGCGTTTAAATCGGAACAATGAAAATGGTGTCATTTCCAAGCAAGCGCCTAGATATTTTAATAAAATTATTATATGTATGTAAAATAATATTAATTAAAATGTGTTATACTTGTGTCAGGTCCAGAAATAACAGAACTGAACGACCTGACGAAGCAGTACTACGAGAGACGGGACACGCTGAAGCAGGTGCAGACGCAGGTGGCGCGCCTGGAGGAGCAGGTAGCCGACGCCGGTGCACATCTCACCACGCTCGCCGACAAGTACAAGCAGCTCACAGCTAGGCAGTCAGTTCTATTTCTCTACTCTGCTTTAGTCTATGGTTACAGTGAACACCATCGTGCACAATAGCCTTAATATTTTTCTCTAAGGGTGAGGCGTAGTTGGCTCATGGGTTAAGCACTTGACTTGCAATCTGAAAATCTTGAGTTCGAGTCCAGCTGTTATTTTTGTGTTTTTTATTTGCAAATTTCATATGTACATTTAACCGAGGGAAATATCATGATGCAATCTGCACATATCGGCGAAATATTTCAACCAATGTATGTGAAGTTAACCCACACAGGGTCAGCTTGGTTGCCTATTGCCTACTCACCCCTCACTTAGGGTAGGCTCCGAGCTTTTAAGTGAAGACCTACAGTGAACTTCAATATCGCAAGTCAACTATCATTGTCATTCTTAAACTTAAACATTCGTACTGTCAATTTTGACTGCTAGTCTTGATATAAATGTGATCTGTCTGATTACTATTAACTATGAGATGTTCTATAATAAACTTTGTGGTAGATCTGAGGCGGAGAATCAATTGGAGAGTTTAAAAGAGCACGCACAGCGGCAGGAGAACCGTTTGCAGAACGCGCATGACGTCATCACGCTTAACTTGAAACGTGCGAAGAAATTATTTGACGATGTCGACGAGTGGCGCATATTTAAGGTAAACTCTTGTTTACCATAGACTATAAATTGTGTGTACAGCGTATTTTATCACTAATTGTCGCCTATGACTCCGTTCTGAATTTAAAAAAAAAACTTCTTTGCGTAATAAACGCAGCATGTGTTCTTTCAGACTATGTTCCACAACTATACCAAATTTCATCATGGTTTGTTCTGAAATGTTTTTCTAAGATACATTCATCCATACATCCAAATATTCGCATTTATAATATTAGTAAGATTCGGTTTTGAGAAAAAAAAATTCTCGTAGCGATTGGAACTTCTTAAATTTTTACGACATTCGCGAATTTTGTAAGTTGAAAATAATTTATAGGTTACTTATCGGCTTTTGTATCTTTAGTGAAGCAATCTTTTATAATTATTTATCTGTGGGTAATATTTGGATATGGGTTAGTTGTCTATGTACAACCGTAACTACTCGGTGGCCGCGCACACAGCGCTGCAGGGCGTGCAGGAGACGTGCGCGGGGGTGCGGGAGGCGCGCGCACACCTCGCCGTGCTGCTGTGCGGGGAGGAGGTGCGCCGCAACCTGCCCCCGCACAACACGCGGCTGCACTCCTATCTAGACAGGTCCACACACAAATCTGTAAATAGATTATTAGCTGTCGCAAGCAACTACCTCTACGGAACTAAAAAGAATGAAATAGTAGCCTACGTGTTCTTACAGCAGGAGATACCTTCAAATAAACATCCATCCATCCAAACATTCGCATTTATAAAATTAGTAAGATCCTTTTGTAAACTTTGTATCTTATTAAGGAAATTGCGCAAACTTGACATAGTTAAAGTTAATATAGACAAGCATAAAGCATACGTAGAAAAAGTCTTTTAATCTGACCAATGGACTACATTTACTTTACTATATAGAAAAAAAAGATTTATGTTGTGTTGTTCAGGAAATTGTAGTATGAAAAGGCCAATAAAGTATAATATAACATATGAATAACTTATAACAAGCTACCTTAGCTTTTTAATATGCAAAGAAAGTAACTAATTAACTTTTGTCTTTGCAGGATCATCGCGAGCGAGTCCGCAGCCACACTGGGAACTCCACCAGCGGTTGAAGGTTCTAATTTTCATTTCTTCTAATAACAAAAACATATAAATCTTCTTTCTTCTCCCGTTGTCTTTATTGTATACTAGCTGTCGCCCGCGACTGCGTCCGCGTGGATAAAAAAAAACTTAATTAGTGTTCTATACGTATGCCAAATTTAATCGAGATCCCTTCCGTTCAAACACCCATCCATCCATCTAAACATTCGCATTTAGATTATTAGTAAGTTAAAAAGCAGATCTTCAAGGCATAAATTAAAATAAAAAATTAATAAATAGTATCCCATGTCCGTCTCCTGGCTTAAAGCTACCTCCACACCAATTTTGAACCATATCGGTAAAGCCGTTCTTGAGTTATAAATAGTGTAACTAACACGATTTTCTTGTATATATATAGATTCTCATCATTGGTTTCTGAGACTAATCTCTCTAAAAAAACATAAATTCATCCCTATTATCTTGTGTTCAAAACAGGGCTTTTCGTTTTACAAACCCATAGTTAATCTTTTATGTTATTTAGATCATAAAAACTTATAAACGACATACGTAAAGGAAATTTATAAAATTATTTATGTGTTATCATGTATATTAGTAGGCATGTTTGTTTGTACTTAAGGATAACCGCTGTTATTATTTGCTAGTACTAAATTAGCACAATAATTATATATAAGAATCCTTATTTGTACCTACATTACCTCGTAAATATAAAATAAAATAAAAATCCTTTATTGACCAAAAAAACATTTTCACATAATTTTTGTGGGCTCTGTTTCCTGAACTAGTAAATACTGTGTTTCAGGAGACAGCACCTAAAGAACCTAAATAACCCAACTCTGGTAAAATCTTTCCATTCTCTTGTCAATTTTACCTTTTTGACTGAAGCGCGTGACGAGAATTTTTTTTGAACTGATTACTATTTAGTCAGAACTCCAAAATATTCGTTGATACAAAAAAGGTCAGAAAATATATTGTTGATGTGTTTTATTCAGAATCAGTATTCTCTGAGTCTATGACATCGTCCCGCAGCGGCGTGAGCATGGCCAGCGGATATACCAAGCGCCTCTCCGTCTTCCGCAGGACTCTCGCGCCAAAAGTCGGCGAGCAGAGCGTCAGTACACTCACACTATTATATATTATTAGCTGTCGCCCGCGACTCCGTCCGCGCGGGATTAAAAATAGATGTTGGCCGATTCTCACACCTACTCAATATGCTCACAAAATTTCATGAGAATCGCTCAAGCTGTTTCACAGGAGTATGGGAACGAAAATTGTGACACGAGAATTTTATAAATAAGATGAATACGCTCCAATAGTTTTTTATTTTGTTGATAAGTCTTTGTACACAGATCAGTTTGAGCAGAAAGATAAAAAAAGAGTGAAAACTACCTCATTCAAGTCTGTGCTATATTTTAATGAGTTGGACCGTTGCGGAGCTATCGATTAAGTACGTAAATCCAATGTATACCACAGATCATGGGTAGGTTATGTGTTCTTACAGAATGTGTTCAACATCTAAACCAAATTTCATCGTGCTCCATGCACCTGTTCTGAAGATCCCATACATCTAAACATTCGCATTTATAATAGTAAGGTTATCAAAATTGTACCAACGAGTTTGTTAATATGATTTTACATTTTACAGATAGCTGACGATATTCCCGATCAAGGTGAATATTTGTTATGAGTTTTTGTTTCGTAACATGAGATTTTTTGGCCAAAATTATATTAAGGATAGCAAGCATTTTCATATTGGACTTTTACACGCTGCAAATCGACGCTTATATTACATTAGTTTTAAGGAAAATATACACATTCACGAAGCCCTTCATATAACTTTTGAAAAATCCTGTCTCCACAATGGAAGAAGAAATTCTGTACATCTGGATGGTGTAGTAATGTAATCTGTTTGCTTTTTATCCAAGCTCGAAGGTCGACAGTGTCGCTACGCGTCATAAACCTGGGCATCAGGGAGCCCCAGCTGACGGAGTCTGCTGACATCTGTACCAGGTCCAGAGCATTCCATTGACTATCGAAACAACGACTTATTTTAATAAACTATATTTGTGTGCGTTTTATGTTTTGTGTCATTTTGCTTTATAAAATTTACATTCTATATTTACTGATCGTTTTATTTGTTTATCCTCTTGACTAACTGGGTTTCCGAGTCAAAAATCGCAATTTTGAACATATTATTGACTCTCTGTTGTCAAGCATAACAGTTGTTTTATACAAAAATTTTGGTCTCAGAAACCCACGGTTAGATGAGTAATGTTTTATATAGGTTTTCATTGACCAAATAAATTTATTTTCCCGAAAACAAATCTGGTCATGACTGAAGATTGGAATTTGATCGTCGAAGTGTTACATAACACGTAATCCAAATGGCCGCAATATCGAGCGTAATGTAACCTGAGTAATATTCAAAATGATACGAGAGGTAAACTATTGATATGTTCACGCCCATCAATTTTTTTTGTTACTGATATTTAGCCTAAAGACTATGTTATTCTTTCCTATTAAATAAATCCGAACTTTTCTAATATATTTAAGAGTTTATGTCATTAATATAGTTGTAATATTGGGAAAATCAGGACCAATTTTTTTATAATTGAATCGACGCTACATCTGCAATACCAGAGGAACCGCTGATTAGTTGCCGGCCTTTGAGAAGGTGATACGTTCGCTTCTTGAAGGGCCCTAAGTAGCGGTTAGGAAATACCGCTAAAAAAATAAAGAAACGATTTTGTTATGAATAATCAAAATAATACCGCATTATTACAATAATTAATTTTTATTAACATCATTCTAATTTTGAAATATACACCACATTTGTCTTTTAAAATAAACATGTAAACAATGTCTGAATCTGGCAAGATATAATAGTTGTAAACACAATGCATCAGGTGGGATACGGAACAATCTATAATGATATATAATTTGTAACATTTATTTCATGCAAACTACAAAAGCTGTCTACTTTATGTGCTATAGAAAGTATTGTGTAAGTAAGCTCTAGTAGCACATTTTTCATGTACCCGGAACATCCCATTTTACAAACACTAAAATATATTTCTACTAAATCACACTCTAAAAACAGATTTTGACGATTAAATTAAAACATTGACTTATTTTATTAATTTGTCATGAATTAATATGATAAATTAAAATAATTATGCATTATTTATACAAATCAGGAACTATAATCAGAACTTTGTCTAGTTATTGATAAGAAAATAGGCCATATAAAATGTAAAAAGACCTTATTCAAGTGCATCTTTTCTAGATTGTTTTTTAATTTTTTTTAAAATAGAAATATGTAAATAAATTACAATGTAAATACTTCAATGAGCTTAAAAAGTAGATAAAATAATACATCACAATACTAAGTCTGCTCTGGGCCCGTGTTTCAATAATAAAATTAATAGTAACAAATATGACACAATTCCATTACAAAATTTGAAACAAACACCAAATTTTGTCATGGAATTTATTACAAAATCAATATAAGCAAATGTCTGTCTAATTTTACAATAAATCAGTTTTCAATTTAACTAACATATAATTGTGGCAATTTATAATACTATAGTGATTCTAACACTGTTTATACAATCTACTTCATAAGATAGTTTACTGTGTAATTTACATTCCAAAACATAGAAAATTAGCTACTCCACAAATAGGACATAGTGGCTAGAATATGAGCTGCCAAAACCGAATAACATTGGGATTTCAATAGTGAGCAAGCCATGAGTTGACCTGCAGAGACTCCGCTTTGTCACATGATGTGCCCGACTACGTTTCACTTCACGTCGCCATATTGGCCTTTCACTTATTTCAAACAGTGTTAGAATATCAAAACGTCATAAGTCAGGAAAACGCAGGGGATCTTCTACATAATCTTCAGGTATAACGAATAAATCAGCAGCTATATTGTCACGGAAATCAAACTTTTGAAAAGTAATTTTTGCAGTAACTGTTGGTAGAATTGGTATATCTATTTTGACTGGAAAGCCCTTGGGTAATTTCATGGCTACAAATTGTCGTAATTTAGCAAAGTGTTTGAAAGGAGCTATTACTTCCAAAACATTTAATAGCATATCCACACTTAGTGGGAATTCATCACTCATTGCAATAGTTGCTCGGAAATTCCTTGAGGACTCTTTATAAACTAGCTCCCTTCCCAAACTGGGATATTGTCCTGGAGGAGATGCAATATAAGTCTGCCAGTTCACTCCGCTTTCTGGAGGAGGATTTAATGATGCACGCCTAGCGGGCTCACCATTAGTGTCCAAATTCTGTGTGTTACCTTTTGTAAGACTTTCAATAATTGCTTTATTTTTCTGCAAATCATCTGTTGATAAGTGCTCTCTACGTTTTCGAGATTCCAATACCAGCCCTGTGATTGTGTAGATATCACTTTTGTATAGACCGGCAACAGTTTCTTTGCGATCTTCACGAAATATCCAGCCAGATTGAGCCCTAGAAAATAGTATACCTTTGGTAGACATCTGTGCAGCTAGAATATCACTTGACATTAATATATCCACTTCATCTTCAATTTCATTTTCTGTTTCTTCATATCGAACTCTTTGATATACTTTAGCTTTATTGTCTAGAACTGTTAAAGCTTCACCTTGGGGTTTCTCGCCTTGAAATATAAATGAAATATCACCTCTCTCCCATTTCATATCAGAAAAGTCCACCAATGTAGTATCCAGCCTGATGCCAGAGCCTGATTTATAAATTTTACACACATCAGATGGCAATATTCTGGAAACTAATGGAACCCATGAATGAAAATCCCACTTGAGCTCCATGTAGAAATCTTGTATTTGAGCAAGGGCTCTAATTAGGTCAGGCCTTCTTCTGTCCATTTGCTCTCTGGCTTGTTGTTTTAGTTTACGTACAAGTGAGGATATTGTTTGCCTGTCACCATAACTGATTGCCTCTGCGAGAGGCGACCAGCCAGCAAGGTTTTTGACTTTAACTGGTGCACCATGAGCCAGAAGAAGTTGCACACATTCCTTGCGCCCCAGCATAACCGCCAAATGCAGTGCAGTATTGCCATGTTTATCTTTGCAAGTGATGTCATTGAATCTTAGTAATGATGATAGTTTACGTACGTCTCCAACGAAAACACATTCGTGTAAAGGGAACGTTTCTTCCTCTTTTTTACAGACTGAATTAGACATTGCGTGCGTACCAATTGTGTCAATTCATTACTTACATTAGTCACTAATTACAAAAAAATCTTCAGTAAAAATGAATAAATATCTAATCAAAATGATAAGATTACTTTCAGAGAAATTACCAATATCGTACACATGATTTCGTTTAGTGTCCAATTCGGTTCAAGAAACTATCATAATATTTCATGTTTCTCTGCCTAACACAAAAACTGTGATATGCATACAACTCGCTTGCACTAGAATATAATCTTCATTTTAATATTTAATAATTTAATTGGTTTATTGCACTAATTTACATCGAACAGTTGCAGCTAATTGAATGACAGTGACACACTGACGGCGGCTGTCAATGTTATTAGGCCAGTGACACACGGCATTCTTTTTATATTGTGATTTTTTTGTTGTTTTGTACAGATAAAAAGATCTAACACAATTCCCGCTTCCTTTTATTATGTTAGAAAATATTAATGTCAAGTAATAAGATTATTAAACGTTTATTTCACAAAATGTTACCAACAAATTATGTATGCTGTCTTTTTTCAATTTGCCTAGGCAAAGCCCACAGAAGAGGTTTAAATGACCCATGTTAGTATTGATTTTTAACGATACATAAAATTAAGATTATGATACTGGACGATATTATGTTAGATGTTAGGATGACGAAAAATGTTAGATAAAATTCTCGAAAGATACAAATTATTACGACCGGGTACTGAATTTTTATAGAGTGGTGAGAATGGGAGTGGATTTGAAGAAGTTGGTAAAAGAAGAAGGGAAAATGGAGAACAGAGAAACGCATAAATATATATTGCTTTAAAGTTTGTTCGGGTCACTATGAAACTTTTATTGCATAGTAGAGTAGTTAGTTAAAGCGGTGTAAGACAATGTGGCGACTAAGATGGTTGCTTTAAAATTGGCGGAGGGAATACAGTCTATTGGGAAGATTTTGCGTGTATCTTGGAAGCAATAATCATAATTCATAAGTTTATAGCTATATGCAATTTATGACGCCCTACGGGCTTATCAAATATAGGACACGAGATTTTTAACAGGAGTTGTTACGGAAGGTAACTTTTTAATGTTTTGGCATGATATGGATGACTTCCTTTTAAGTGTGGAGAAAGAGTGTGAATGCTGTGTTAGATCTACGAGGACTATTATCATAGTTTGCAGAAAATTGCTAGGAATAAGAAGTTAATTCTAGAATGATAGTTTAAATGTTTGTGATCACCCCTAGTAGTAATAACAAAGCGATAAAATAGAAAGAACAAAACTACTTATGTGAAATAACACGAGAAAACAAGGTTCAGAGAACATTGGCGAAGCAAAACATTATTTAAATAAATAGACCTCGTTAACTAAGGTTTCAAAAAGAAGAGAGATGAGATTGTAAAATCAAATATATGTTGTTAAATAGTTTGTTCTTAAAAAATAGAAGCGAGATCATTTAAAAAAATTTGGTCGCTGATGTACATGACGGTTGACGGATGACGATTATTAGAAAATTGTTACAGTTGTGATTTAATATTTGCAGTTTTAAGCCAATAGAGTGAATTTAATTAGTTAATTAACTCAATTGCAAAATACCATGGAATAGTTCAAAATGTTGCCAACGTTTTGGTTTTTTACTTACCTGTCAAGGAAATATTTTCTATAGGCACTGTAAAAGACCATTATTTAAATTCCATCGCCTAAAAGCATTAGGAGCAGTAGTGGATACAAAATATCACGGCTTTCTTTCTCTTTGATGATGATTGGAGGTGGCTGCGCGTACGGACAGGGAGGTGCCGCGCCACAGCACGAGTATTGACATGACACTGTGTAAATCTAAAAGACAAAAAATCAATATAAATAATCTCTTACGCCTAAAACATTTAAATCTAGTTATTGTTTCTACACTCACATTTAAAAGGAAGACAAAAGCAAAACAAATTAATATTAATTTGGACGACATTTTTCGTAGCGTGTGGCAGACCTTACTAACTTTTTCAAGTTTTATACGTATATGCCTGTGCAATTTTCATCACAATATTGAGTAATAAACTTTATTGAAATATTTTTATTTGTAAGTAGAATAAGTTATATGACATTTAGGCACGTAGGAATTGCTAACTATTACGAAAACTGGCCGCGCTACGCCTTAATTTTTTATAGTAAATTAACAAACATATATAGAATGTAGTATTTTTTAGAAATAATAAATACAGTAATGATAATCTTTATTAAGCAACAGAAAATGGTAACATGAACGGTGTTACTCTGCATTAAACCACGAATTTAGTCTGATGATGTTTAATCCTTTATAATTCTAAAGATTTTACTAGTTTACTCAAAATCAATGAGGGCAAATCCTACTCAGAACAGTTTAGTAGTGATTTAAGCAGCCCCTTAGTTCACATTCCTTATAATTATTCTACACTACAGGTATTTCTTCGTAACTGACTGTGAGTGCGGCATATAGTAACAGTCAGAGAAATAAAATTAATCGCAATAATTAAGTCATTTTGCAAACTCTTGATATTTGTCTTTTTCCCTTACCATTTGATATTTGTCCCATTTTTATATATTGAAGATGTTCTAAAACTTGTTTTTAAACGTAAAATTATACTTCAACATACTTCTGTTATTATTCCTAGATGTCGTTGTTGTCGTTGTTTTGAAGCGGTGTGTGTAAAATTGACAGATGCGCAAAGTGTGATATTCAAGATTATTGTTACATTTTCTTTGAATTTTGAGAAAAATAACATTTAGAGATGTTTTAAAATTAATTAAACGTTGGACATTTAACTGCTAAGCTGGTTCTCATTCCGTTGTTGTGATGGTTTTTCTTGTTTGAAGATCTTTAAAAACATTGTTTTGCTTCATTGAATCGTAATTTATATTGATTGTGCATAAGTTGTGAATTTGTTCCTAACACACGAATTTCGTATGCTATAAAAGTCGCATACTGTAGTTGCATTTATTATGTTATTAGAAATAATAAACTTTTTCAGTAGTTTTAATACTATTATTTATTAAGTTAAGTGGGTAATCCGGCTTTACTAACAATTAACAGTGCAACTCGAGTGTTGAAGATCAGTGCAGTAAAGGCTTCCTGCAATGTAAGTTCCTTAAATTTAATATTTTTACAGGTATTTAATGGAGCATGAACAACTACTAATCATTTGTCGTATTTTTAACATTAATAGTTTTTATCTTTTTAACAATACCTTTGTCTAATTGGTTTCACAAGTTATTAATATATTTGTCTTGACTGACCTTTTAGTAATATATAATAACATGAAAAAACAGTAAAATGTCATATAAATTAATGTTTGACATCAATTTTTAATACTTAGATCATAAATATTGCATCTAATATGTCTATCCATATCTAAACCATTCTATTTCTATCAGTTTAGAACAAATTTAAATACTATATTTTTATATGTAGTGTTTGTGTAAATTAAAATGTTGATTGGAATATTAATGTTTACAACTTGGTTCAGAGTTTTATCTGTAAGGTTATCACTCAAGTCGGCTATCATATTGAGATGTTATTCCTTTTCTTAAGATGGAATATCTATACATTTCTTTGTTCTTTGTTTTGCTTTCACCTTAAAATAAAGATTTATAATAATAGTTTTTAAGTTTAACTTGCTGCAGTTGTTCTGTATAGATGTTGAGTTACTTGTACTCAATCTTATCTCCATATTTAACGTATAAATCAAGAAAACATGGTCAATATATAAAAAGCTAGTCTTGACTAAGGAGATAGAGAAGAACTTTGTTTGTTGCTCACATTTATTTATTATTTATATATTTCAATAAATATATATTTAAAAAATTTATAGTAATGTTGGTCAACAAGTTACAATTCAACGACATACTTGAAACTACATATTTTATATTACTTTATTCTTCAATCTTTCAGATCTGTTTCTTATTAATTTTTAGACGCTGCGTTCAAGAAAAAAAGCAGCAAAATCTTCAAAATTAAATGCAAATTAGAATAAATATTTAAATAGGTTTCCCGTAATTTAAATGATATGAATTAAAAAATCAGATGATCAATGCACATTCTTTTACATGTTACGTCTATGTCTGCATTTTATATCAAGGTCATATTATAGAGCATATGTCAAGGTTATAATTAGATTTGTAAATGGTTATATACAAATCATTTGTTTTTATATCTCCTTTCAATATTTTTAGATTCGTAACATTTTTATTTATTTACTCAACTTATAAGACATTTTTTGTAATTTGTGGTCGACATTATTGATGTTAGATCAGTTTAGTTCTCTAAAAAAAAAAATACGGCTTCTTTTTTTTATATCAATTGACTTAGATTTTTTTATCAAATCATATGTAATGACGTCAGAGTTGCTTGTCGTTGAGATTAAGATCGTTAGACTTGTATCTTATCATATTATATTAAAATGCATTTCAGTGAATAGTTTGCAAAATATAAATTTCTATTTATGTATAATTACGGTAAATGTACCCTAGAGTAACTTTTCTTACGTGGTTGTACTCTGTTCACTATTGCTACTATTCATATAATTCTTCAAAAATATCTACAACCAGGTATAAACAGGAATTCCGTCAGACCTTAAATTAAGCTTCAATTGTTTCCTTCAGTTCGGACTTCGAACGTTTCCTAGCAAACCGTTCTTTCGTTTCGTAATACGCACCTAATGTGTGACAAACCCCAAAAATTTGGTCAAAGAGTAAAAACTTTTGACTGAAGAAATAGTCTGTTATTTTTTCCAAAGCTAAAATGAATCATGGAATAGTGATGATGACAGATTTTCGCTGTGAGAACTTAATTACGTGAATAATTACAATGAATGTATTTATTACAGTTCTGATTGAATTAATATATTAAAAAAAATGCCATCTTTTACGTCGACTAAACTGCATAACAATACCTAAAGTATATTTTAGTATAGTATATACTTATGAAATATATTATTTGCGATTCACACAGTACAATGGAGGTCCATACCACATTAAAAGCGGTGACGTAGTTAAAACTTGACGTCGGCTAGAAGTGCGCACATGCAATACTTTTGTGTTGCGAAACTTGAAAGGGCCAAAGCAAAGCTTTACGTAGATCGTTCTTGTGTGAAATGTAAGCAACCACTAAATATCACATATAAATCTCCTTCACTGTCGTATGATGTCGTCGCTCCATATAAATGCGAAATTTTTATTTCCGCTGCAGAAATTGTAATGATTTTGTAAAAAAAACCGTTGCACACTTTTTTTAGATACTCTGAGTAACAATTAATTGTCTAGTGTCATTTCAAATTTATAGTTTTTCTTAATTATATAGTGAAAGTCAATAAAAAAATCAAAAC